ATCTATAAATATAATACACCACATCAATAAAAGAAAAAACAAAGACCATATGATTCTCTCAATTGATGCAGAAAAACCCTTTGATAATATCCAGCAGCCTTTCATGATCAGAATTCTTAAGAAAATAAGCATAGAAGGGACATTTCTTAAACTGACAGAGACCATTTATAGCAAACCCACAGCCAATATCATATGGAATAGTGTAAAATTGAAAACATTTCCACTCAGATCAGAAACGAGGCAAGGATGCCCATTTTCTTTACTGCTATTTAACATACTAATGAAAGTCTTAGCCATTGCAATCAGGCAAGAGAAGGTGATCAAGGGTATCCAAATAGGGTCAGAGGAGATCAAACTCTCACTTTTTGCTGATGACATGATCCTATAATTGGAAAATCCCAGGGACTCAACTTCAAAACTCTTAGAAGTGATCAAGGAATACCGCAGCGTCCCTGGATACAAAATCAATACTTATAAGTCAGTAGCTTTTATATACACCAATGATAGTCAAGCTGAAAAAACAATCAAGGACTCTATTCCTTTTACAATAGTGCCAAAGACGATGAAATATCTGGGAATTTACCTAACAAAGGACGTGAAAGATCTCTATAAGTAGAACTATGAAACTCTGAGAAAAGAAATAGCTGAAGATATTAACAAATGGAAAAGCATACCATGTTTGTGGCTGGGAAGAATCAACATTGTTAAAATGTTCATACTACCCACAGCAATCTACAGATTTAATGCAATCCCTATTAAAGCACCATTGTCATACTTCAAAGAACTTGAAATCATAGTACTTCGTTTTATGGAATCAAGAAAAACCTCAAATAGCAAATACATTATTCAGAAATAAGAACAAATCAGGAGGTATCACATTACCAGACTTCAGGCTATACTATAAATCTATAGTGATCAAAACAGCGTGGTACTGACACAAAAACAGAGCAGTGGATTTATGGAACAGAATACAGAACCAAGAGATGAACCCAGCTACTTATTTCATTTGATCTTCGACAAGCCTATCAAAAATATTCAGTGGGGGAAAGACTCCCTATTTAACAAATGGGGCTGGGTGAACTGGCTGGAGATCTGCAGAAGACTGAAACTGGACCCCCATCTTTCACTATTAACAAAAATTGATTCTCACTGGATAAAAGATTTAAACTTAAGACATGAAACTATAAAAATACTAGAAGAATGTGCAGGGAAAACACTTTAAAAAACCAGTCTGGGAAAGTATTTTATAAGGAGGACCCCCTGGGCAATTGAAGCAACACCAAAAATACATTACTGGGATCTGATCAAACTAAAAAGCTTTTGCACAGCCAAGAGCACAGTAAGTAAAGCAAACAGACAACCTTCAGAATGGAAGAATATTTTTGCAGGTTATGCTTCCAACACAGGTTGGATAACTATTATCTACAGAGAACTCAAACTAATCAATAAGAAAAGAATAAATAACCCTATTTTTATGTGGGCAAGAGACTTGAACAGAAACTTCTCTGATGAAGACGGGCGCATGGCCTACAAACACATGAAAATATGCTCATCATCCTTAATTGTCAGAGAAATGCAAATCAAAACCACTTTGAGATATCATCTAACTCCAGTAAAATTAGCCCACATCACAAAATCCCCAAACTACAGATGTTGGTGTGGATGCAGAGAGAAGGGAACACTTCTACACTGCTGGTGGGAGTGCAAGCTAAATACGATCTTTTTGGAAAGAAGTCTGGAGGATACTCAAGGAATTAAAAGTAGACCTATCATTTGATCCTGCAATTCCTCTACTATGTATATATCCAGATGATCAAAAACTATTTTACAACAAAGACATTTGCACCAGAATGTTTACTGCAGCCCAATTCATAATAGCCAAGACATGGAAACAGCTCAAGTGCCCATCGACCCATGAATGGATTAACAAATTATGGTGTATATACCCCATGGAATACTATGCAGCCATAAAAAAGACAGAGACTTCACATCTTTTATGTTCTCCTGGATGGAGCTGGAACATATTCTTCTTAGTTAAAGTATCCCAAGAATGGAAAAAACAGTATCCAATGTACTCGATACTACTATGAAAACAATATATAACCACCTACACAATCATACAAATGGCAAAACACAACTATAGTCCATAAAGTAGAAGGGAAGAGGAGAGAGGGGATGAGGAGAGGGGACATGAGAGAAGGGAAGGTATTCGGGGAGACTTCACCTAATGTGCATAATGCAATGGTACATTTCAAAACTATTAAGAAATGAGTATAACTGTGATGGATGTGTTACTTGGTTCAATGTAAACATTTCACATTGTATCTCAAAGCAATACCCTGAACCCCATAAATTCATCAATGTACAAAGTTATGATTTAATAAAAAATAATTATTTTTTTAAAGTATTCAAGCAGAAGTCCAGTTTCATGAGAAATCTTCTGATTTGCAAATGTCTACAGCTAAAATATTATACACACACATAAAATAAAATAAAATAAAAACAGTCTACATAAAAAGAGGTACCTTTCCTGAGTGGGCACATGATCTGGGCCTCTAGTTCCTGAGTGATTCTGCCTCAGGAGCCTGATCCAGTCAGGGCCTATTCTTTACTGTGGGGGGGGGGGGATGAGGGAGTTGCCAGAAATATTCCAAAATTTTTATTAAAGTAGCACCTTATTGCACCCAGTTAAAAACTTGTATTAAGGCTGTTAAACTTGTATTATGTGTGCAGAGTCCTACTTTGGGGGGGGGGGCTAAAGTTTCAGAGTCCCACTAAAAGACAGAACCTCTCAGCTAAGCACAGTGGCTCATGCCTATAATCCCAGCACTTTGGGAGGCCAAGGCAGGAAGATGACTTGCACCTAGGAGTTTGAGATTAGCCTGAGCAACACAGTGAGACCCCATCCCTATAAAAAGTAAAAAGCATTAGCCAGGTAACCTGTAGTCCCAGCTGCTTGGGAGGCTGAGGCAGGAGGATCCCTTGCACCCAGGAGTTGGGCTGAACTCTAGCCTGGGCAATAGAAAAAGATCCTTTCTCTGTTTAAAAAAAAACACTAAACTAAAAAGATAAAGGTCTCCCAACAAAAAGTCCAAGTTTAAAGTTATTTTTTAAAATAAGCAGCTGAGCAAAGGACGAGAGAGGAAATCTGGCTTCCTAAGGCCTAATGGCCTCGAAGGTCCCTACAGACAGCAGCAACGGAGAGGGCCTGGCTCAGGGGCTGGGGAGCACCTAGTCACTGACCCCACTGTGACACACCAGCCCTTGGCTCCATGGCCAGACAAAGCAGGACCTTCTTCCTCCTCATGGAGCAGGAGACCTGCGGAGGACACAAAGGGGTTTAGAATAATCTAAAGACTGATCCACAAGACATCTTCCCCAGTTCCCTGTCTTGCTCCTCCCTTTCCTTTAAACATGAATGATCTCCAGGCCAGAAGAAGCTACTCTGCCCCTTGGATAGTTCTGTAACTACGTAATTGTTCTAATTTCTACAATCTCTCTGAATTTATATTCATAAACCCATCTTCTAGAAAAGGAGGCAGACCCCACAGCACCCCAGGCCAGAAGCTAGCTTCATTCTGTGGGCATCCAACACACAGGCACTACTGTGGCTAAGCCAATGTATGGCCACAGCCAACCCCAAGGGTGTAGGAAGGACGAGAGAGCCCTATCTGGACCCTACCAGCCCTATTCCCTCCCACACATGGGACACAGTAAGTGACAGAAACACATGGTAAGAGAATGACACCATTCCTCTCCTAGAAACCTGCCCTGCTACACCCCCTGGGCCCTCCACTAGGTGATGGCACAGCCTCTATGGACCTTGGTCTTCTCATCTGTGAAATGGCACAATATCTACCAGGCAACATCCTCATGAGGACCAGGCCAGAGAATGTGCATGAAAGCAATGCAGAGCCTGGGGCTGGGTGAGCCGCTCCTCCCAAACCTTCCAGCGTGCAAGAGGCCAGCACATGCCACCTCTCTCCTGCCAGGAGACTCTCACTGCGTCAAGGGTCTGTACAGTCACAGTTCTGTAGGGGTTCATCCTCATGCAGCCTTGTGAACCCCACCAGGTAAAAGCATCTCCATAGGAAGGATGTCCTATGGTAGCACCTCTCCCCACTGCAGCTTCCAAAGCATTGGATATGGGGACGCCCCAGCCCAGCACAGGGAGAACAGACTGCTCCTTTTGCCTGCTCAGGAAGCTTCCTGAGAAAGCTCCAGGCTGGAGGACACAAGGCCAGGGTGCAAGCCAACAGCTATATGCTAGTACTCTCCAAGAATCACTGGTTCCCAGCCTCACCCTCAGAGATTCAGACACAGGGCAATGTCTGCAAAACAATGGCTCACAGAGCATTGGGCTGGGGGCTTGGCTTCAGGGGAGGGAGAAAACCTTGGGCAACAGTTCCTCAAGTCAGTAAGGCCAGTGGCAATGCCCCTCCTCCTGTGACCCCCCTCCCCCGGGGAGCCTCAGCATAGCACCACCAACAAGAGGAGTCCGTCAAGAATGAGAGGGGTAAGGTCCTGAGAGCAAGGAGACCCCAAACTCTCTCCTATAAGAAGCCAGAGCCCTCCACCCTCTCTGAGTGCTTGAGAGCCCTCTGAAGACCCAACTAAGCCTTATACTTTACACATGCACACAAGGGCACCCCACATTCATTTCTCTGGCTGGGCCTTCACATCCTATGGGACTGACAAACTCACAAGCTGTCCCCACAAGAGCCACAGACCCGAGAGCTAGAAGAGTTTTCCCTGTTAAGTGTAGGGTCAGCATGTCTCAGAGCAACAGCCCTGCCAGTCAGATGAGGGATGAGGCCCTGACACAGCCAACGGCATGGCCCAGCCTCTGGACATGGTGCCCAGACACGATGTGGCCAACCTCAGTGACAGTAAGTACCTCTAGTAGACTGAGGGCCACGAGGGCCGGGGTGGGGAGAACAGGGAGGTTGCATTTGATGGGCACAGAGTCCTGGAGATGAGGTGATGACAGCTGCACTTACATGAATGTACTGAATGAACTCTACACTGAGGGCAGCTTGGGTGCTAAGTGGAGTCCTTTGCTGCAATTAACAACAAGAACATATTAGATCATCCCTCAGCCTTAGAGGGCAGACCCCCATGGGATGTTCCCCAGCTCAGAGAGCTCCTGGCTTCCTTCTAACCTGCTGCTGCTCTGCCAACAAAGCTTCCAGTGACATCTGGACTCTGATGGCACCAGCACCTTAGCTTTGCATCAGTCCCCAAAAGCTCAAAAAAAAAAAAAAAAAAAAGTGGCAGAGTTTTGAAAAATCATAGGCAGCTTTGTACAGAACAAACAAAGGCAGCAGAGAAAGGCTTCCAGACCCTCTCCTTTACCCACCCTTGGATCTGGGGCCCAGTCAGACTTCTCAGGCTTCCACTTATCTCTGAGGCTGCCCTGAGCCCACCTCACCTCAGCCTGCATTTGGGAAATTTCTTTTCCTTTTTTGGGAAAGTTGCCTCTCCTCAAAGTTGCCACCCACCAGTTACGGAATATGTAGATGTATCAAAAAAGACATTTCCCAAAAAAGGAAAAGAGATTCCCAAAGTTGTTTCCATCCTAGAGCTGCCCAGAGTGGCAACAGTCAACCCCTGGAGCTACACGAGGCCCACTGCCCTAGCCCCAGCAGAAGGGTTTCTCCAAGCAGCCATCACCAGACCAAGGGGCTGCTCCCCAACCCCTCCTGCACACTCCTCCCTCCTGACACCCACCCTCTTCTCTAGCCTCAACCCCACAGGGCCGAGACAGCCCTCTCTGTTCCTCAGAGCTCTCAGGAGGGTCCCCTTTCTGCTGAGTAACTGCTGAGCGTCCCCACATCCCCAAAGCCACTCCCAGGAACACCCCTCATCCTACCTTCTCTCCCTCCCCACCTTCCTTCCATCCCCCCAAGCTAGGAGCAAAACTCCTGTAGCAAGGTTCACAAAGCTGGTCAGTCATTACCAAATGCTCCTGGGTCCAGACCATGCAGAGGAGAGAGACGGAGAACTATCAATGGCCCAACAGTGAGAGAAAAAAGTCACAAGCTAGTGTGTAAGATAACATTTAAGCAAATGAAAACAAAAAATATAGTATAAAAGTCAGATACATTTCAAAACAGACTGTCACTAAGTGTGGAGGGTACAGACCAGCCATAAAATGCCCCAGTTTATTACAGGTGAAGTTTTGCTGGGGAGACCCACAGGATGTCAGAGACACACATGTATATTCCCCAAGCCCTGTGGCCACCTGGCATGTCCCACAAAGACCCCTTCAGATCCAGGACACGTATACTTCACCCCATTCCACAGCTGGTGCCAGATTTCTCAATCCTGGCTATCTGACCAGTGAGTCCTTTGTGTAAAGAACAGAGGTATATACCAAATCAAATCTGTATTTTAATTTTTTAAATAAATAAAAATATGAATAAACCACTGATTAAGTCACTCAGGGCTTCTCAGCCTTGGCTCTGTTGACACTTTGACACCTTCCTTGCTGTAGGGGCTGTTCTCTGCATCGGGGGACACTCAGCAGCATCTCTACCCCAGCTATGACAATAAAGGATGTCTCCAAGGGTCAGGCATGGTGGCTCAGGTCTGTAATCCCAGCACTCTGAGAGGCCACAAGAGAACTGCTTACGCCCAAGAGTTTGAGCTTGCTGTGAGCTATAACGTCACCGCACTCTACTGAGGGCAACAAAGTGGAACTCTTGTCTCAAAAAAAAAAAAAAGAAAGAAAGAAAGAAAAGATGACTTCAGACATTGCTGTGAGGCCTAGGAACCATGACACCCCAGGCTGAGGACAACCACTCTCTTCTAAGCACTCACAGGAAAGCCCTAACAGGGTGGTAGCTCAGCCCACACCTGCGCCTGCCTAGAAAGATCGTCTCCTGCTCTGGGTCTCAGGCTCTGCGGCTGACAGCGGTGGAGGTCTCAGCTGTGGGAAGGCTAACAACCATTGACTCGCAGCTGGGCTCCAGGCTATTTGCTTGTCCTGGGACACAGCCATGAAGAACAAACCCCAAGGTCCACCCCCCAGGGGGACCATGGGACATGGCACCTCCAGCCGCACCTGCCCCCACCTGGCTTCCATCACGGTCACCACCTCCTTGCAACTTTCTCCATGTGACCTTCCTGACACAAAGCACCCTCAGGGACACTTTAGGAATTTCTGCAGGATGGCTACTACCCCATTCATGGACACAGTGCCGCTTCACTCCCAGAGAGCAGCACATGTAGGGCCTGCTCTAGACAGAGTGGCACCAGCTGGTCAGCAGAGCGGTCTCTGCAGCTTCAGGGTCATCTGCCACAAAGCAGTGCCAGGTCAAACACCATCAGCTTTGGCCATGCTCTGTGCCCCCTTTCAGTCCAAGTTTGTCCTAGGGTTTCTTTTCTGTCCCACATCCCTGGCTCGGTCCCATCCCTGCCCAGCATCACATGAGATGTCACCCAACCAATACCTGGGCTCCTGGGAGACCAAAATGCACCGTGAAGCGTCAGCATGCAGGCCTACACCTCATTGCTTGGGAGCTGCTCTCAGGGCCCAGCATGTGCTCCGCATTCACACCAGCATGAGGCAGCCCCAGGAGCTCAGCCTGTGCTACTGAGCCAAAGAAAATAATGGATTTTGCTGGACTTCAGATAGACCTAAAGAAAGATTTCTCGGCTCGGCACCTGTGGCTCAAGCGGCTAAGGCGCCAGCCACATACACCTAAGGTGGCAGGTTCCAATCCAGCCCAGGCCTGCCAAACAACAATAATGGCTGCAACCAAAAAATAGCCAGGCGCTGTAGCAGGCGCCTGTGGTCCCAGCTACTTGGGAGGCTGAGGCAGGAGACTCGCTTGAACCCAGGAGTTAGAGGTTGCTGTGAGCAATGAAGCCACAGCACTCTATCCAGGGGGACAGCTTGAGGCTCTGTTTCAAAAAAAAAAAGAAAGAAAGATTTCTGGACAGGAATACCACTCATCCAGAGAGCTCTGCTTTTCTGGTGGTTCATGGTCCCAGTCTGGCCCGAATGTAACCCAGTGACCTCTTAGGTTGCTTTGATACTGCTAAGTCAGCACATAACTTATGGACAAGTCAGTCAACCACAGGGCTGGGGAGAGGCAGGTACACCCCAGAGGAGCCCCGCCTCCACTCCAGGGCCACTGCCAGATGGCCCAGGCAGAACACAGGGCAGCATGGTGTCCCTACTCTGGGAAGATAAGTCTGAGTGTGCAGCTCCCTCCTCCCACCTCTGGCACACGTGAGGCCCATCAGCACTCGCCTACCATGGCTCCAAAGCAGACATCCTATAGCAAACCTTCTGTGGCCCATTCACTATGTACATATACATTCCTCAGAAAGAATGAGAAGGAAGAACATTATTTTTAAGAAGGAACCAATGAGGGCATAGTCAATAGGGAACAAGGTATCATACCTATTAACTCCTCCCAGAAACAAAAGTATAGAAAGTAGCACATCAGCTATAATGACCACCCCACAATCCCAGGGCCCCAACGGTCTGGAAGGTCCAGATGTCTGCCTCAACCCTGTGGCAAAGAAAGAGACTCTGGGAAGGACATGCGCAGTCAGCCCACCTCACATGATTGTGACTAGACTGTCCAGGACAGCATCGATTTTAAAATACCATCTACATGTATGCTCACAAACACACCTAACCTCAGGGAACAGGAGAAAGGCAGCCAGGTCTCCCACCTTCAGTCCTTCACCAAGCTCGGAATGCAGTCCTATTTCAGGTGATAGTCAGGAGGGGCTAAGCTCCTTTAGAGGAAACGTCAGGAGAGAAAAATGGGTGGACAAAGAAAAGCCAGAAATTCTACCTGGTTGGTTTTGGATTTGGCCTCTGGGACAACAGCAGCAAACACTCGTCCAGCCCAGGAGCGGGTGGAGAGCAGGTGGTGGTAGAGCAGGCAGAGCCTGTGTGCCTGGGCCTCAGTGACCAGATGAGCACAGGCCCCACTGTCAGACGGTCTGTGAGGTCAGCTAAAAGCCAGAGCCAAGATCAAATGGAAACAGCAAGACCAGTTACAGCCAGGAGACTAGGGGCAGCCCAGGCCCACAGCACGTGAGCACAGGGTGCTCTCACCCACCTGCCCCACCCACACCTGCACCCAAGATGCTACAACTCCTTCCCCTTACCAGGAGTACTCTAACCAAGTCTAAACTCCTTTGAGCCTTCAACAGAGGTGACTTCCCCTCACTATTTCCTCTCCCCACAACCACTGCAGAGGATGCTTCAAACCAAAGGTCTGGGTTTTAGGGCCGCCTCTGCCAGCTATCACAGTTCTTCAAAGCATTCCAGATTTAAGAGCAGAAGCCCCAGAGAAGCACACAGCTTCTGCATTCGCATGCATCACATGGGCAACATGCAGCGAAGGGCGCTGCTGGAGGGTGTAGACAAGGCACAGGGAGGATACTCACCATCTCATCCAGGGCGTAGCGCAGGAGGCCATGCTCGTAAAGGATGAAGAACCGTCGCTGCCATTTCTGGAACAAAGCAAAGGGAGATGGTAAGGTGGATCCAGCCCCAGAACTCAGCATGCTGAGCCATGCCCCCCACCAACCCCGGTCTAACAGGCCTGACCTAAGGAATATTAGCTTCATGGATTCATTTCTGGAGCAGACAGCAGAAGAGAGAACCAAGGCCTGAGAATTCATTAGCCAGGACTGGGCTTGGAGAAAGGCCCAAATCATATGAGTGACTTGTGTCTCCACATGAGTTACTGAGATTTAACAAGCAGACTGTAAAATATGGAAGTTCTGCAGAAGCAAAGGTACTATGTGTCTACCTTTCTGTGTCCCCATGGCACCCAGCACAGAGGGCAGGCCTGGCATGTGTCAGGACTTTATTTGATGAACTAACTCACGCACCAGGAAATCAGCAATGCTGAGGCACTGACTCACCACTCCTGAGAAAATCTGGGAAACTGCTACACAAGGGGATGTCCTGATGCCCCCTGGGAGAGAGGAGTCAAAGACAGCCAGGCTCTGGCCTCATGAAGGTGAGAGGAGCTGAGCAAAACAGTCTCAGAGCAGCAAAGAGCATCGCCCTGCTTCTCTACTCCCTGCCTAGAGGCCAGGCCACAGGGGCTACTACAGTCAGATACCACCAGAAGGAGAGGAGGGCAAGGGCACACACCTTCCTTTCTGTGAGAGAAGGGCCTGGTCTCCAACACAAGGCTGTTGGCCCATGTCACACCGACACACACAGTGCCTGAACTCAGAAGGCCACCACAAAAGCTGTGACCAACTTTCAACATTTCAGAAGGCCCAACAATGTTCAGATTTTTACTGGCAATGAGGCCACAATAACTAACTTATAAAATCACATCTCTCCTTGGGCTAGAATTATATCATTGACAATAACTTTCCCATCAGAACCTGAAAATGGCAATTCTGCACAATCTTTAACATGAAGCAGGAGAGTGAACTCCTTGCTGGGAACTGCAGTCCAGCTGGACCAGTCAGTCCCAAGTCCTTGCCTCTACCCAGGGTGACAGACAGGGACTCTAGCAGCCTTTGCAAAGAGGGCTGGCTCCATGTTGGGTGCCTGGGGGCAGGGAGGCACTCAGACACTGCCAAGGCTATTTCCAGGAGTGTTTCCAAGGCTCCTCGTTGTCTTTGAAATCAAACCCCATTCCAGAATGAATCCCAAAGACCAGAAATACAATGCAAGATCTGTGGTGCCAGAACTTGAGGCCCTGAGGCCCTATCCAGATTATAAAATTCATGGTGCGGAGGGGTAGGCAAGAGAGACTCAGAAAAAGGGGAAGGAGAGCACCCAGGGATGAGAGGACAGGAAAGGGGGCCCAAAGCTGAGTATCCCAGGGTATAAGCAGCAGTACCCACAAGAGGGCCTGGGAGGAAGGATAGTGTTTATTAACTAGAGTTAAACCCAAAGGGGCTTCCTGGCAGAGGAACAAACTTCAAGACAGTATGATGCTGAACTGACCTCTCTGGCAATGTGAAGTTTACGGAGAGGTCAGGGGTCCCCAGGCTATAGTTCACCAGAGCTCCCTGAGCCTACAGCTAGGGTGGGTGGCAGGTGTAAGGGGCAGGGCTGGGCACTGAAGGGACCAGGGGTCGGCTTAGTGTAACACCAACACTTGCTGAATTGCTCTTTTGCTTCTTCCATTGTCTTTTTTCAAAAATCAAGCTGACCCACCGAATAGGCAACAGCCACGTGAGAGCATCTCATTTTGAAGGAAGGACGCACGACTCTGTGCAGGGTGGACATAAAGTTCGTGTGCAAGTCCCCCCTGTATATTAAGACTTTTTCCGCGGGACCTACAACTTGCCAACCTGGGGGACCCTCTGAACCTGCCAGCCCAGAAACCTCAGTTCAACTCCCAGTGTCTACCCCATTCCACCAACACACCCTCTGATGGCCCCTCCCACCCAAGAATTCACTGTGATGCTCTTACGCGAGATCGATGTACTGGATTGTCAAAGTCAGTCCCATCTGGAGCCAGGAGCAGCCAGCCACCATAAATGGGCTTTGCCTAAAGGAGAAAAAAAGAGGGCAGGTGATCAGCAGCCTGGGACCGCAGAGAGGACAGGCCATATTATGGGCCAGTACTCCCTATAGACAGTGTCACCTCTGCTCTGCAGAGTGGTCCCTGCTCCCACCTGCTGAGAGTTGTAGCCTGACTGGGCATCCAGCTGCCAGGACTCTGCAGCACATGGTGTGCAGAGGGCACCTCAGGTACCAGCAGAAGTCTGAGGACCAGTAGAGTACAGGAGCCCCTAACATATATGCTGCACCCTAGGGTTCCTGAACAAGCCACCAACATCAGGAAAAACGGCATTTTATTCAACAAATATGTGCTTGTCCGCATGTCTCATACACCAGGAATGTCACAGGAATGACAGAGTCTGAAGCTCCAGAAGATAGGAGAGAGTGCTCCATGATCAAAGCCGGCTCTGGGCAGAGAACCACCAGCTGACATCAAGAAACCCTCCGAGCTTCAACTCTCCCCTTTGAAAAGTGCTCACATGAGGATTGATGAGATAATGCAAAGCCCAGCACAGGGACACAAAGCAGGGCACACTGGAGGCATCAGGCTGGCAGGTCCTAAGACGGTTAGATGGAGGTTACCCTCCTCCACTTAAGACCCAGAGACCCCACTCCCGGTCTACACACCAAAGAAAGCAAATGTGGGGATCCCAGTAACAACCTGCACATGAATGTTCACAGCAGTATTGTTCATGATTATCAAAAGGTAGCTGCATTAATTAATGTACACAGCTATGATTTAATAAAAAAAAAAAAAGAAAGAAAGAAAGAAAGAAAGAAAGAAAAGGTGGTAGCAGCTGAAAAGAGTTCTCAGCAGATGCGCAATGAGCATTATGGTCCAGCCACAGGATGAAGCGTCATTCAGCCATAAAGAGCAAGCCCTGATCCTTGCTCCCCCACACAGATGAGCCTCAGAACATGATGTTAACTGACAGAAGGCAGACACAGAAGCTCACATACACCAGAACTCCACTTACATAAAGCACTTACATAAAGTATCCAAAGTAGGCAGATCCACAGAAAGCACAGGGGTGGTTGCCAAGGTCTGAGGGGAGGGAATGGGGAGTGACAGGGAGTAGGTACAAGGTTTCTTTTTAAGGTGGTGAAAATGTTCTAGAATCAGATAGGGGAGAAGGTTGCATAACATCGTGAACATGTGAAAAACCACCAAACTGTACACTTCAAAA